TTTTTTTTTTTTTTTTGCAGAACCAGGGATTGAACTCAGGCCCTTGCGGTTGCCACGGAAACACTTATTCCACTGAGCCATCTCCCTGGCCCTATCTTCCATTGTTTTTCTATTCTCCCTTTCAGTGTCTTCTTTAGGTGAAGTTATTAATTCTTTCACATATTTATTATTTCTTTTTAAAATTCAGATATTATTTCCAATCTGATTTCCTCCATACCTTTCTGTAGTTTTTTAAAAAAATATTTTTTTGAGAAACAAATAGCAATGAGACAGTTTCACAATGGATTATTAGCACATTTTCAATAATTAATACATTGCATATTGTTGTCTTAGTGGTTATTCATTGTATGAGATGCAGTCCAAATATCATCTCAAACTCTAGTATAGAGCAAACCTCTCTATTCATTGAATTAAGAGAATGGAGCTGTATATCTAGCCTAACTATTTTGAGTGTACAGATACAAAATGGTCATTCATTTGTATCCCCCTTTTTTGGTTAGGTTTGTCAGAGAAGGGCATTCCATTGTCATTTAAATACTGTAGGTGCATGAATTCAGCAAAATATTCCAATATTCTCCAATAGTTCATAATAGTAGTGGGTTTTCCATAAGATTGTCAATGTCCAAAGTTGTTGACTTGAGCATTTTACAGCTAATCATATTAACATGGCTTTACATTTTGTACTTCATTTTCATACGTTTTTGCTGGATGGTTAAGACCAAGAAAGAGTGAGACCTATATAACAAGAAATGTAACTTTTGTATCTGATAAGTCTGTCAAATCCTCTCAGGATTTAACCTGAAACCCTGTAACTCAGTTTGCAGATCCTTTATCAGTGTTAGCCATATGGATGAGTCACGGCCATTGCTTGACCAATTTACTCCCTGTGAAAGCCTGAGAGAATGTTTTCTCTCCATTTGACTCTCCTTAGGCATACTCTACATCACTGATCGCTTTCCTCTGTGGCCCTAAAATCTCCTTGATCAGAAAGTTTGGGACAGAATTGAATTACAAGATGTTACAGTACAGGTTCTCTTATGTCCTGAGTCTTTACTGACCTTGAGAGGCTAGGGCCAAAATGTTGGTTCCTTGTACCCCTTCTTTTTCTTTAATTTTTGGTTTGCAAATTTAAGTTGTTAACTCTCCAGAAGAGAATCTTAATGATATTATTACCCTATAACATAGTCAGTTGAGCTGAACCTCACTATCTGTCTGAATATAAAACATTTTTAACATAACATGGAATGAGTATCTTCCATCAAGTGTTGATATGTTAAACTTCAAGTCCCTCCTGAATATGAAGAAAAGTGATTTAAAAGATAAACAAATATTTAAAAAATAAGAATAAGCATTTACATATTTTTACACAGAAATTTATAAATCTAAGAATATACAGACTTGTAGCAGGACAGTGCTGTGACTTTTTTTGTCTCATGTTTTCATTTATTATCCCCCTTTAAAAAAAAAAACAACAAAACTTTACTTGAGATACAGTATGGCCATAATAGGTATGCTTTCTCCCCAGCCCATTTAAATATGTTTCAAGATGACAATAAAGAAAATTCAGATAAAAGCTTTAAAAAAATAGAATAAATTATGGTGAGTAGCTCTACAGTCTGCACTAGTGATCATGCTGTCTAAGGGACCACTGCAGTCCGTGCAAGGCTTCGGTAGCAAGAAGACAGTCACAGCCATGGCACACTGCAACAGGGCAATGGCCTCATCAAGGTGAATGGGCATCCCCTTGAGATGATTGAGCTGCGCATGCTGCAATATAAGTTATTGGAGCCTGTTCTGCTTCTGGGCAAGGAGCGGTTTGCTGGTGTTGACATCCGTGTCCATGTGAAGGGTGGTGGTCATGTTGCCCAAGTTTATGCTGTCCCTCAGTCCATCTCCAAAGCTCTGGTGGTGCTTTACCAGAAATATGTTGACGAGGCTTCCAAGAAAGAGATCAAAGATATTCTCATCCAGTATGACTGGACCCTGTTGGTAGCTGACCCCCGTCGCTGCGAATCCAAAAGGAGGCCCTGGTGTCTGTGCTCATTACCAGAAATCCTACAATAAGCTCACCATAAGAATCACCACTGGGCTTTGTAATAAGTATGGAATTTTGAGGCTGAAAACAAATAGAATAAATTTGAATGAAAAGAAACAATAACAGCAAGCAAAAAGAATAAATGAAAAAACCCTCTTTACCCTATCTAAAAAAAAAGAAATATCAAATGAGTTCAAGAAAATTCATCTGTTTTCATTTTTATTTTTAAATTAACTTTATTGAAAATCAATAATTACATATCATATTAAAAATTGTAGACAAATATTGAAATGTGAAATACGTAAGTTGTACAAGAGTGATTTTGAGAAATATATCTGAAATGAATACATTGTATGAGATTAATAGATTGCACATTGTAAATAAATTATTTACAATATTAAATGAATATAACAATAAAAACTGTCCAAAATAAAAATGAAGAAGAAAGAAATCACAGACCAGTCATATAATACCTCACTATGTGAATTCTCAAAGTAGAAAGGGGTAGGCAATAAGTATGTAAAGATTTAAAATTTCTGAATTTAGTTGAACTTATAACACCACAATCTTTTTGCTTTTTTTTTTTTTGCAGTGCAGGGCATTGAACTCAGGGCCCTGTGCTTGCGCCAGGCAAGCGCTTATTCTACTGAGCTATCTTCCCGGCTCATCTGTTTTTAAATGAGTAGTTTCTTTCCAGCATCTGCAGCTTTGTAATCCAGAAGATATAGGGCATGGATACTAAGGCACTGACAAAACCAGTTTTCTTTCCAGCATAAGCAATACATCATTATTCCTGGAGAACTGTTCCTTACATAACACTTTTTACATGTGCCTAGAAATGAAAATTCATCTCATCTAATCACAAATACTTGGGTAAGGGTTATAATGGAATATATAGAACTTGAAGTGATATTTAAATTTCTCAGTAGATGTAGAATGGTGTGTGAGGTGTCCAGACCATCAGTGTACCAACAGTCAGAGAAACATGTGTCTCCAAAAGCCTGTGACTTTCCTGAATTATGAAGACCTTCGGTGAAGGCAGCGGTTGGTTTACCCCCAAGCGTTGCTGTTTTCACAGTTGTGATTCCTACCTTATTTATGAATAAAAGAAAAATAATAAACTTGACCTAATGACTATTTGAATTTCTCAACAGACATGGAGCAGTGTGTGAAGTGTCCAGATCATCAGTATGCCAACATTCATCAAAATCAATGCCTTCAGAAGTCTGTGACATTTTTGGCTTATACAGACTCCTTGGGGATGGCTCTCGCTGGCACAACCATGAGCTTCACTCTCTTCACTTTCGCAGTTCTTGTGCTCTTTGTGAAGCACCGAGACACTCCCATTGTTAAAGCCAATAACCGGGCTCTCAGCTACACCCTGCTCATCTCCCTTACCTGCTGTTTCCTCTGCTCCTTGCTCTTCATTGGCCGTCCCAACGCAGCCACCTGCATCCTGCAGCAGATCGCATTTGGAGTTGTGTTCACTGTGGCTGTTTCCACCACCTTAACCAAAACTATTACTGTGGTGCTGGCATTTAAGGCCATAGTCCCAGGCAGAAGGATGAGGCAATTGCTGGTATTGGGGGCACCAAACTACATCATCCCATTCTGCTCCCTGATCCAACTCATTCTCTGTGGAATTTGGATGGGGACAAACCCACCCTTCATTGACACAGATACACACTTGGAACATGGCCACATCATCATCATGTGCAACAAGGGCTCCCTCACTGCCTTCTACTGTGTCCTGGGATACTTGGGCTGCCTGGCCCTGGTGAGCTTCACTGTGGCTTTCCTGGCCAGGAACCTGCCTGACACCTTCAATGAAGCCAAGTTCCTGACGTTCAGCATGCTGGTGTTCTGCAGCGTGTGGGTCACCTTCCTGCCCGTGTACCACAGCAGCAAGGGGAAGGCCATGGTGGCCATGGAGGTCTTCTCCATCTTGGCCTCCAGTGCAGGGCTCCTGGGATGCATGTTTGTCCCTAAGTGCTACATTATGTTGTTAAGATCAGACAGGAATTCTTCACATGGATTCAGAGATAAAATATATTCTGGCAGAAGGAATCCTTCTTAGGTTATAAATATTTTTAAGTAACATACATTGTAGGATTTAGGTAATTCTGCACAATCTTCCAAAAACTTGTATTAGATTGCAGTATTAAATTTATCAGAATAAACAAGGCCCTATTAGGTGATTTTCTATTTTAATAACCACAGTTTTAATAATCATCATTAGAACCTGAATTTTTGTATATTTCTGTTCTATTAATTCTATAATCAGTCACTATTTATACTAAATTTTGACTATATTGTTGACTTTTCTTTTGTGTTTTCATTGATTTCTCACGTTTTCACTAATTTTAATCCATTAATATTTTATGTATAGTGTATTGTTCCTGAATCCCCTAGTACCTATACTAGTTTTTCAAGAAATATCAGTTTTGTAATATGGTAATGATATTATGTTTTGATAACTGTTTGATTCATTCTCCTTTGGACATCTTTCTTTGGAAATATTTCTGGAGCCATTTTGGTGATTTTCCTTCATATGTGGCTTTCATAATTTTCAAATTTATTTATCATATGCAATAAGATATATTATTGAATCTTAAAAAGAGCATGAGATACATATTTAAATTTAGAAATGCAGTCACTGAGTGTGTGGTAGTAGATTAAACTCTTATTTAGTTATACTTTTTCGATGAAACACAGATCTATAAT